CAGGAGCCATGGGCAACATCTCCTCCAACATCGCGGCCTTCCAGTCCTTGCACATCGTCATGCTGGGCTTGGACTCGGCCGGCAAGACCACGGTGCTCTACCGGCTCAAGTTCAACGAGTTCGTGAACACGGTGCCCACCATCGGCTTCAACACCGAGAAGATCAAGCTGAGCAACGGCACGGCCAAGGGCATCAGCTGCCACTTCTGGGATGTGGGCGGCCAGGAGAAGCTGCGGCCGCTCTGGAAGTCCTACAGCCGCTGCACCGACGGCATCATCTACGTGGTGGACTCGGTGGACGTGGACCGGCTGGAGGAGGCCAAGACGGAGCTGCACAAGGTGACCAAGTTCGCCGAGAACCAGGGCACGCCGTTGCTGGTCATCGCCAACAAGCAGGACCTGCCCAAGTCGCTGCCGGTGGCGGAGATCGAGAAGCAGCTGGCGCTGCAGGAGCTCATCCCGGCCACCACCTACCACGTCCAGCCGGCATGCGCCATCATTGGCGAGGGCCTCACCGAGGGCATGGACAAACTCTACGAGATGATCCTGAAGCGCAGGAAGTCCCTGAAGCAGAAGAAGAAGCGGTAAGGCGCCCGCCGCGGCGCCCGGGGAGCGAGTGAGGCGGGAATGAATGAATGGATGCGGTGGGTGGAGTGGGGGGGCGGCGAGAACCCGCGAACAAAGACAGCGAACCAAAGCGATGCTACCAGTCAGGCAGGCGGAACCTCCGCGCCCAGATGCGGGGCTGGTGACTCCGACCCGGGCGTGAAGGCTGACAAGGCTGGCCAGCCGCACTCCTAGCTCAGGGGACCTTTTGTCTGGACGCCAGAGCTTCAGAGGGGGGGAGGGGACGGTGAAGAGGCACCCCCTGCCGCAGCGATGGCAGGGACCCCCGCCGGAGTTGGTCTTTGCGGCCCCAGCTGGGAGACTCAGGTGCCAGAGACAAAAGGGATTTCCGCCCACCCCAGCAGGGGCGAAGTTCAGGCTACCCCGCTCCCGCCCCCACCCACGGGGCAAAGCACCTGTGCTTCACCTGGAGCCCTGCGGGCGCCCTTCTGGGGTGCAGTGGGGTGCTGGGTGCCGCAGCGCCTTGCATTCGCGGGATGTGGGTAGTTGTATGTCCCAGGGCAGGCCCCTGTGGAAATTCCGTTGGTCCTGCACTGGGCACCCTCCCCCCTCCCGGGGGAGGTGGAGGTTTGGGCCATCAGGACAGAGCTGGCACTGCGCCCCAGCCGGGCTTTGCCTCTGCCGCGGCGCTGTTGGCTCGGCTAGGGAAGGGCGGAACGGCCGCTGCAATGTGCTTTCCTGGTGCTCTGCGGTGGCTGCAGAATACGAGTTTGAAGAGAACTGATCTTCCAGCCTGGAGTCAGACATCTTCCCGCTGGCTGGGACCCTGCCCATGTGTGTGGAGATCGCAGCACACAAAGAGCCAATGCCAACCGACATCGGCAACAACCAGAAGCCCTTTGGAGGTGGTGGCATAGCTGCTTTTATTGTACTGTTTGCCGGGTGGGAGGCGGCATGAGGGGGGTGTGGACCCAGGGACCCTCCCTCCCCTGCTGGGTGGTGGACAAAAAGACCCAGACCCCTAGGTGTGGGGTTTTAGATGGTCTTCACCTCCTGATTGGTTTGGGCTGAGCAAGCTAGCTGCAGAGGTGTGCTGAATAAACCCAAAATGATTTTGTAAGGGAGGTCTCTTGTCACCGTCACCGCATGAGGCTGGGTGTGCAGATGAGTTCAGAAGAAAAAGGGGGGCAGGCAAAGAAAACCACCCCGACTTTTACAAATGGCTATTCACCTTAGAAGTACTGACCTTAGGGGGCAGCGGTGGGGTGGGGGGAGGTTTTGCTCTGCCCATAACCCTGCCAGAGACAGCCTGTTGGGCTTTCTAATCTAGTCCCTTGTGGCCTATCTGGGTTTAAGTGTTTCCTTCAAAATGTCTCCAGTGTTTTGATGTCATGCGCCAAAATAAAGAACGAAAAATCCATCTTATCGCCAAAGGCGACCTGGTTGCATGGGTTGAAAAGCAGAGAGAGGAATGAGCACAAGGTGAAGGGGGCTTGTCTCCGACCCATTCCTGGGGGACCTGGCCCCGTCTGCGTAGCCCCCAGCTCCCACCCCCTCCCATACGGACAGCGCCTCCCCACCAGAGATCAAAGAAAGCCTGTGACGTCACGTCCCCGGACTCAGGCACTTGCCGGTTTACTTGACAGGGCTGCGGAAAACAGATCGAGGGAGAGAAGGATAAATGCATATTTTTAATAGTGTCGTTTAGAAGAAATCCTTTATAATCAGGACGGAGCCTTGGTTTGCATTTGCCCTGAAACAGAGAATGAAAAGGGAAATTTAAGCTTATGATTTGATTTTTTGTTTTTATTTCCTCGGTGAGTCCGTGCTTACTGGCAGGCGTGTGGCCCCCTCCCCACTCACACTCCATACCCTCACCTCCACATACCCTGGTAAGTAAGGCGGTTTTTTTATGAAGGAAGCCCGAGGAAATTGGACAGGACCATGCCGGAGCATGTGACTTCGCTCAATTACAAACCCAGACCTATTGTCCATTGCACTCGGCAAGTTCTTTGAAGCGCCTGAGAAGTTCTCGCTTCCTGCCTGACACCCAATTCTCCCACGCACCGTTTTCACAGAAGAACCTTGGCCACCCATTTTCCCTTCCCCTTTTGTCAGTCCATCGGGGTACCCCCTCCGACTCTGGTCCTTCTTGTCCAGACTCCGTGGAGAAGATCCAGCAAAGCCTGCAAGATTTCCGTTTGCAGATAAATCGGCAGACGGACTGTATCTCTGAATGGGCTGGCCCCATTGTCCGAGGATTCTGGGTAGGATTAGGAAACCGAACAGAACAAGTAGCCAACCAACAAAAAGCACCCATCTTCCCTTTCTCTCCTTCACCTGCCACGATTTCTTAAGCACTTTGCCATTTGGGGGAGTTCCGCGTTCTTGAGAGAAGAGTCTATTTATTTTGTGAGATTGCAGATGCCAAATACAGTCACCTTCTCATGCGGACAGGACCTGGGATCCAGCCCGCTCTTCAGACCCCGTCAGGCTTTTTTTTCTCTCCCTACCCCCTCCAAATCCCAGAAGGGGTTTTGTGTTTTGCATCATCAATGCTAAAGGGTGCGGTCAGCCGTTAGTAATTGTGCCGTAAAGTAAGAGCCCTGTGATGTATCAACAAATAGTCCCCAGTCAGTCTCAGTTGATTTCTGTAATGTTCAACCTAACAGTGGCCATCCCGTCTCCCACTCAACAAGACACACAGAGAGTGCCACCTTGGCGGGGGTCACCCTGGGAGGAAATCCCCTCTCCCCCTCTTTGAACGTGGGTGGGTTGCCTATAGAGAGAGAGCTGTGCCCCCTCCCCTCCCTCCGGAGCACACACCCAGGGAGCTTGGGAACTGTTCCTTAGTCCACAGTGGGAGACCAGCTTTAGTTTCAGAACATAATTCTCTAACTCTCTGTCACCATGTTGGGACTTGGTCTCCTCCGGTCCCCGTTTCTGTTTTCTCCTGTGACCCTCTGTCCTGTTTATTCTCTTCCTCTGGTTCTCGTTCCCTTTTATAATGCATACATGATGCTGTGAACAGAAATAAATTATTTATACAATCAAACGCCTCGTTTCAGTGGATGCTGTCTCAGACTCCCTTTGCGGAAAGATGAATGGCCTATGGGGTGGGGGAAGGACATGCCTCCCAGGAGGGTCTCGGAGGTGCTACCTGGATCTAGGCCCCTGTCAACATGGTTGGTTTTAGTATTGGGGTTTTAGGTGGCTGGGTGGTAGAAACCGGGAGGCCAACAAGTGGGCAGTTCAGACCCACCACCCAGGGGCAGCTTGGAAGACAGGCCACAGAATGTACGTCCCAACCCAAGGGTGCTGAAAACTCAAGGGAACCGTTCTACTCTGACATGGGAGTCACCTCGAGTGGGGGTGGATGTAACAG